TTGAGCTCTGGAGCTGTGCCTTGCGTTTGAGAAACGGAGGTAAGAGTGGCATGATACTATGGTCTGTATTTCTTTGCCTAAGCAGATCTCAGTGAACTTTGCATTTGGATGGAGGTTTACATTACCAATCAATATGTGTCTTCACTCTCAGTTTACTAGTAGCCTTTGTAGTTCCTGAAGTTCACAAACAAGTTTCTCTGCGGAAGTTCCAACACTTGGGGATTTTATGCTTTCCTGTTGCGTAGATCCAAAGCTGGAGTGAGCTTTCAGCAGCCAAGTTTCAGACTGTGAAAGAAACTCAACTTCATGTTATCAACAAAACTAACTATTGTTCTCCTCTTTTTAAGAGCTTATGTATAGTGCCCAACACTCTGCTGCCACTTCAGAGTACTTGAGACTGTGCTTACATTTGAGTGCGTGACTATAGGACAGAGGGCCAAACACCTTTGGCTTGTGAGCCGCACACCATAATCGGAGACTTACCAGGAGCATACCAAAACTTTTGGAGCGTTCAGGGGACCAAGAGCTTCAAAAATGGCTGAAAGATGGTGCCTTTTCAGGTTGCTTCCCACTAGTTTGTTGTAATAGCAGGGAATGGGGTATGCACTGAGATTGTAAGTGAACCCTGTAATGGCAGCCTGACTTATTTTCCCACTGCTGAGGATTCAAATTAGTGAGTAGCAAAACACTTTTGTTGCTTGTGTGGCATACCTCTGACACAGGAGCCACAATTTAGGGATTTGGTAGCCACAGGCAGCCCAGGAGTTGTAGACTGCTCACTGCTGTAGTAGGAATTTATGCTGTGTCCAGGCCAGAGCATCAGTATAGGGAGTGATCAAGCCCTAAATGAGGAAGAAAACCATTTTGAGTTCTGTTTCCAGAATAAATACCATATTGGAATTGTCCTTGTTCAATCCTTTACTGAGCTCTTCTTAGAAATACACAAATATTGGTGGAGGAAAGGAAAACAGTCCAAATCCCTTAGCACGTAAAGAAGCAGTAAAGAAGAAACAAGATACTGTGCTTCCTTTTCAAAGCTAAAAAAATTATAAGGTAGCCTAGGAATCAGACCCCTGCTTATGCTTCAAATAAGATACTTCATGCTGACAAGGGCTCCCAAATTTCTTGACCTGTGCCTCTCTGTCAGCATCACACAGTCTTTGCTATCCACAATGCACTGTTTTCATCAGCTTTTTTATGAAAAGCATTTTGAGAGTATCATTTCCAGCTGCATACCATAACCCATGTACGGTTTGTACACTGCTACTTTGGAAGTGATAATGTAGCCAGGAGTGCCTGTCATAAAAAACACCCTCACAGCATGTTTATTGGCAATTTCAACACAAAAGCTAGAGTCTGAACACATGCTGAAACTCTGCCATGTTATTTTCACTTATGGGGAAAATTAGTGGTGAGGGAAAATGTTAGGAAGCTTAGATCATCTTTGATAAAACTACACCTGCTTTTTAAAATATAGAGACTCCAGATTAGTACGTGCGAAATATAGTAATGTAACAGCTCTCAAATGTCAAGGATGTTATAAGGACATACAGGTACATGTGTCTGACCACGGATGGAGAAGAAAGCCTACAGTATGCATTCCTCCTTCAGTGATGTTATACATGTTAGGCAGTGGGAGTGCACTCTGTTTGACCTAGATGAAATCATACGGGGAGTTTTAAGCAGAACATTACTCCATTGAAACTGAAGATCCAGGTAGTCACAGGTCCTTACTCTTACTGGAATTTGTAATTCTAATTATTTCATATGGATGAAAACAATGCAATGAAAGTATGCAAGCAAACTCTTGCTAAGCAGACAGCAATGTTTTGAAAATAAATAGGAAACAAAACTGACCAAGTTACTTGGGTTACTGAAAATGTTTTTGCAACTGAGAATTGTCACTGAAGGAAGAGAATACCAGCAGTGACTGTTGTTAGCAACGTTTTATGACTAACACCACAGTTTATGACAGAGCAGTGCTACAAAGCAAAACTTACAGTAATTTTTAAAAGATTTTTATGCATCCCCAGAGCACAAGAGAAACAAAGGTACACTTTTGTTATCTAGATGTTGTTAAATCCCCACAGAACTAGATGTAGACTCAATAAGTTGTGACCCTTTCATGGAAGGAAAGGGTCACGCAAAGTGTTTCAGGAAAGATAAGGATTCACAAGGTAGTCAGTTCTCTTTCTTTTCTGAGACACTCTGAATCCATGCTTGACCACACTTTCAGGTGCTGTTTTTAGGAAGGTATAGGATAACGATAATGTGTAGTCAGTGTCAAAGTGGTTTTTGCCTTTGTTTTTTTTAAACTCTTAAACATTTTGGTCTAACCTAGTGTTAAGGAGGAGAAGGCAAGATGCTTCTATAAGGAAAAAAATAGAGACAATAACGGTAAGGAATATGGTAAGACAAAAGAGGTGGAAAAGCTCTCCAGAAAGCAGATTGACTACTTTAAGTAGCAGAAGAAAGTTTTTGATCTCGTGTAGTGATCTTGACCTAAGGCTGCTGCAGTGGGGCATCTTATTTCCTCCTTATCAGGTAGAAAGGCATATTATCTTGGCCATCCTATTTCATTTCTCCATAGTCCATTTATTTGCACTTTCTCAACACTTTTGGAAGACTTTGAAAAATAATCCTTTTCACTGAAATTTTCTTATATCTTCTCTTTTAAATATGTTCTGTCTATTACTATGGGAACATTGGGACCTTTGGTTCTTAGAAAGATAACAGCTTGGCCCTATCTTTGCTCCTGCCACTGCTCCTTATTTCTGAGATAAAGTTAGTCTTGCATTTATCCCAGTTTTGTACAAGAAAATTTATTCTCCATGAAGAATCTAAGTACATAAAGTTATTATATGAAAGAAGTGGAAATGAATGTTGTTGGAAACAATGATTTTTTTTACATTACGAAGATGATTTCTGAATTTTGATTGACCTTGTTAATATTTCTTTTTTTTAAACCATGGGTATTGTGATAATAGCTCCCAGATTTTCCAGGTGTTATACACTTCATATATATACACTTTATGGCACTGATCCTGAAAGCTTTTCTTTGGGAGTGGTTGCCTGATCTATAGAGGACTCCACCAGAAGTAGTTGGAGTCTCTCTATATATAGGACTCAACCCAAGCAAAGGAAATTTCAGAGGCAGAAATATAATCTGTAAACAAGCAATTTTCTGATTATAATACACATGCCCCTTTGTACAATTTTAGCTCAAATATTACATTTTCAAAAACTTTTCAGAAGAGTAAGAGAATCAGTCTTTTGTCAGATAATATGTTCAGTATTTCTATAACAAACACAACTGAAATCTTCAGACTGGCTTGTAATTAGGCTCCTTTCCAAAAGTAATCCATTAATACAATAGCTGCCAAATCCCACTTCAACTTAATTTCACTGACTTTGATTTTTGGACCAAAAGCATTAAGCTTGAACTAGTGAAAAATGTACAAAATGTGCATTCAATTAAGGAGTAATTAGATACTCAATCACCCTTACATCACACTAGGGATTATCCAAGAAAGAAGAGAGATACTACTCACTGCAGTGTATAAAACAGTTTTGTTAATTAGTTTAGCACTAATTGAGATTGAGAAAGTGTCACTGTGTCACAGCCTTAATTTGCCTACACAGAACCTTAAGAACACAAAGTTTTGGGTTTCTTTTGAGTTTACTTGCTCAGATTTTTCAGTCTAATTCCCTGATCCAGTATCTTCTGTCCACGTAAGAGGAACCTTTCTGTTCACTTCAGGGAGGGGGTTGGTCCCTGCATCTTTATATCCATAGCCCACTGAAAAACATGCCAAGAGTTTTTCCAGACACAGAGAATAATGTGTTATTATTACGTGGTTTTTTTATGTTACACCTTTATACCAAACCCCAGGAAGAACTGGGAATCCTCTGTGCTATTACATAAAGTGTAACTGTGGCTGAAACCAGCTGCTCTGTGACTAAAACTGACTGCTGTCTGAAAAGCTTACAGCCTCCCTTAGAAGGCAGCTGGTAGAAAGTTCTTCAAGTTGACCAGCAAATAGTCCTGCTGCCAGACACCATGACTTTTGGGGGTATTGGATGATAACCAGGGAGCACATGGAAATCATGGCACAGATTGTCTCGTGGGTAGACACTGACTTCTTAACTGCACTGCTGGTGACTGACAGCCTCTACACTCCCTTTTTAAGAAAAAGAGTGGGAACTCTCTCGAGATGTGTTGACCCTGCAAGCAACTGTAGCCCCAGGTGACCCATTTGCACCTAAGCACTTACAGATTTTTTGTGTGTACGTACTGAGCTATAGTTGGCACTAAAATAACCTCAGGGAAAAATGAGCTTATTAGTACAACAGGATTAAATGATTTGGCACTGTCATACCTACCACTTTGGAACTGAGAGCGCTGGGGCAACCTGGGCAGCTGATTTCCTAAGGTTATGCTGAAGCACATGTGCATGTGTTTGCATGAAACCAAGTATTGATTTATCTCTGCTGCTAATGAATATTACTGCTATTAGGAGGGACAAATTGGGTGATTGCTTTTTATCTCCTGAGCCCACCTGACTCTCATGAGAGCTGTGTACGCAGCACTTCACTTGGTAGGCCCCCTAAAATGGGAAATGGTAAAAAACTCTCTGTGACTAGTGTATTTTCCTTTCTAGCTTACCGCCATGCTCTTCACATTAGAATCAATTACCTGATTGATTCAGAAAGCCAATTGTAAAGCTTTGTTTAAAGTTAATAGTTTTACCACTGCATTTAACATTGCATTTTTATTGCCATTTCCTCCACTGCTAGTAAATCTTCCAGCTCGGGCTTTACCCTAAAAGAGAAGAATCAGGACCATTATGTCACTGAAGTATATACCCTAAAACTGCCCCCACCTGCTGTCATGAAATCCCTGCTTTTAGTTTTCCCTGTCTCCCTGGCTGGACATAAACAGTCTTTCAGACCCACTGTGGAGGAATTTCAGTAATATAATTGTTCCATTCTCTTTTCAGAGAGGGGGAAGACAATGCTCCCACAGTGCCCTCGGATGAGAAATGGAAACTTTTGAAGCTGCTGCTTCAGTTGAACCACAAAGCCCGTATTGTTTGTCTTCATCTAATTCAGCCTTGATAGACAGCTTTGACAGTTGGTCTGTCCGCATGGTCCAGTGAAATTCTGGGAATGGGGCTGTACATTAAAAGAAGAAAACACATTAAATCTTCCAGTTCACACTGTTAACTATTTTTAAATGGTAATTACCATTGCTTAGATAATTCCTTTGCCATAGCATTCAATAGTGGTCTGTGATCCAAATAGTACTAATTTTAAGCTTGGTATGAATGTTAATATGTAGAAATACTCATTATTGTTTTGAATGTTAGATTTAATTTTATTCTGTATCATCTCTTGTGCTGTCAGTAATCGTCTTTTCTGTAGAGGGGAGGTGCATTCTATAAAGCTAAGAAAAACATTGTTCACAGAGAGTATTATACAGATTCAGAATTAATTTTTGGGCAGAAAGGAATGCTTCTCTGCTAAACCTTACCATGGTTAATCTGAATAAAGCTGAATGACTTTTGCATTACTAGGAACCTTACTGAAATAAAGGACAATTTTGAAATAAGGAAAATTAACCGATGTAACAATAAACAGAATCATCTGGATTGTTTTCTATTTGGTCAGTCATGGAAATTTGCAAAGAAATGTTCAATTCAAGCAGAAAATGATCGGCCTTTGTTCTCCTGTGAATTATGACAGTTCTGTTTGTTTCTGTACATTGCTGAGGATGGTGGTCTGGGGGTCTGCTCTGCATGTCCTGAGCTCACTGCACAGCATGGGGATTGCCACGCTGGGCCACACATGACACGTCTGACAGAACAGATAAGGGAACAGTAGTCTAAGCCAGCTAGTCATAGCGTCTGATTCCTGCAAAACATCTGAAGGACAGAGTCAATAATGTGGTGGGCAGTAGCTTTGATCACCGTAGCTGTCAGTGAGGTCCACTTTACTAGCATGAGGAGGGAAGGTTTATGCAGAGACCTATGTGAGTGGAAGAACGCCGGAGGCGCAGATGCCAGGCTCCAGGCAAGGGCACAGTGGAGATGCAAACTGACGGTTCACAAAGGGGAGGTTACTCCCCTGGAGCAGATCAGTGAGTCATCAATCACAAAAACTCACCACCGGGCGATGGTAAATGCAGCGTCAGAAGGCGTGCTTCACCTCTTCAAGGGCTATGGGGAGAGCTGCTGTGGAATAATGAGTTACAAATACAAATCATTAAGGTTGGAAAAGACCCTTGAGATCATCGAGTCCAACCATTAACCTATCACTGCCCAGTCCACCACTAAACCATGTCCTCAAGCACCATGTCTACCCAGCTTTTAAATACCTCCAGGGATGGAGACTCAACCACTTCCCTGGGCAGGCTGTTCCAGTGCCTGACTGCCCTTTCGGTGAAGAAGTTTTTCCTAATATCCAACCTAAACCTCCCCTGGCGCAGCTTGAGGCCGTTTCCTCTTGTCCTGTCGCTTGTTACTAAGGAGAAGAGACCAACCCCCACCTCGCTACAACCTCCTTTCAGGTAGTTGTAGAGAGCAATAAGGTTTCCCCTCAGCCTCCTCTTCTCCAGACTAAACAACCCCAGCTCCCTCAGCTGCTCCTCATAAGACTTGTGCTCTAGACCCTTCACCAACTTCGTTGCCCTCCTCTGGACATGCTCCAGCACCTCAATGTCCTTCTTGTAGCGAGGGGCCCAAAACTGAACACAGTACTCGCGGTGCGGCCTCACCAGTGCCAAGTACAGGGGGACAATCACCTCCCTGGTCCTGCTGGCCACACTACTCCTGATACAAGCCAGGATGCCATTGTCCCTCT